TGGTTAACCCACAACTGGGAACACAGGGCCTTATCCAGCCTCTCCCTAATACAAGCAGGGCCCATACGCTTATTTCCAAGTAAATTGGTCACCCTGGAAACCGGGGTCATGAAGCCCAAGTTCCTGAACGAAATCACGTAAGGCAATGCATTTGGCTAGAGACCACGGGTTTCCCCCATCCTTTTCGCTTTCATTGATCGTAGCATTAAAATCTTCTATTACCACGAATGGTAGAGTGAGACCCTCGCAGATTTCTTTGACTTGAGCCAATTGGGAGGTACGAACCCCAACATCACAACTTATGTAAACACAAATCACCACATAGGAAGATCCACTATCATTGATTTGGATACAAATGACAAAACTGAAATGAAAAAACACCGAAGCGTTAACCTCGGGGGACCAAGCAACAACTAACCCACCCAATGCTTCAACAGCATCAACAAAAAAACAACAGGAAGAAACAAAACCTAACCCCCTCATACGACGGGACACTACTCGCCTGCACGACCTTGTTTCCGAAAAGAACACAAGATCCGGCTTATTCGAATGAATTAACCCTACAGCAGTTTGGAACGTGAGGGAAGGTCCAATTCCTCTCGCATTCTAGGCCAACATCCTCATTTATCTGGTTGGGGCCATTTATGGCTGGCTTCCTCCACCTTCTCCGATCCCGCAAGGTCCTCCACAAACTGTTTCTTTGGGGAAGGGCTTTCCACTATTCCTCCCTCAATATTTTCCAGGGTCCTTTTCTTGGTTCCTCCCAAACGATCCACTAAATTGGATCTATACTCGTGGATTTCCAGTTCCGCTACTGTTGTAACACTAGGCTCCACTATTTCCGGAGCAATATGGCTCGCGGCCTGGTGCTTCCACCCCTACTCCTGTTCCTCTTGCATCGCTACCCCCTTTTCAAAGGCCTCCACCACCTGGCTGACTCGAATCCCTCGAGCCAACCTCTTCAGCCCACCAAGCCTTTTCTGCGTACGTCTACGTATCTCAAAGGCCGGAGGTTCCGAATCAGACACGGTTTCCTCCGATTCCATGGACCCTTCGCGTATTTCCGTTGAAGTGGCCTTCAAAGAATCCGTCTTTGCGGACTCCTCCACTTGTGGAGCACCTTCCGTCACAGCACCCATTCTCGATCCCTCCATACTCGCCATTTCGCTTTTGGTGTTACCATCATCACTACCCTCCCTCGTTTGTAGCTTTATGTTTTGGGATACGAAGTCAGTTACTTCATCCCGATGTGCCCCCATCACCTGGCACCCACACGCCGCCTCCTTCTTTTCCCGACCTTCTTTGTACATGCCCCTCTGCTGCATTGTTGCCGGGATGGCAGTCAAAACAAAATCATCTTCGGAATCATCTTCCAAAATGAGGCGCCGCCTACGCGCTGCAGTCTTCTCCTGCTGCTGTCTGTTAGCCGCCAAAATTGGCTCGGCCAAATTGGACTTAATGTCCACTGGAGCTGCATGAGACCTGGAAGACGTCCCTGGCCCCATCTTCCCTTTAATTAGTTTGGCACGCCCTCTCGCTTCCTTAGCAGCCTCTTTATTGCGTTTCACATATATGGGCCGAGCTTCCTGGCTTGGAGCCGCCGCTCCCGGGCGGTCCACGTGCACGGGCCGCGTCGCTTGTACAGGATGTGCATCAGCTTTTGGGCCCTCCATGCGTATGGGCCGAGCAGGACTTCTAACTCCCATTGGCTTATTCGCACTGCCTTTCCGAGCCTGCCTCCCCATTTTAACCTTGGGGCCTCGCGCGACCTGGACACGAAAAGGGCTCCTCCGCCTCTGACCAGTCGGTTCCGTGGTGATGAACGGCTCGTTCGAAGTCCCCATCCACAGTGGACTGGCTTCTCCCGACAACAATTCCATTTTGGTCCCCGCGCTATGCCTTGCTTCACCCATGCCTACATCCTTCGTAGCCTCCACTCTCCGAGGCCCTTGGATCGCTCTCGTTAATCCAAACCGACTTGGCTTGCCCAGGAAACTGTTGTTTCCCCTCCGTGTCATCATAGATACGGCGACCCATTTTTTTTGTTGACATTTGAGGTCCAAACCTCTCTTTCCGGGTCGGGGGATCGAACACACACGACTGCCTCGCATGCCCGACTCGCCCGCACATGAAACAGAAAATCGACAGGTACTCATATTTCAACCGGATCCAGAAGCGGCCCATCTCCTCATTTTCGGCCATGATTTGGGATCTTAATGGTTTAGAGAAGTCAATCATAGCCTTCACCTTCAAAAAATTTCTCTCCAACTCCGAGCAAGAGAAGACGCCAGCTTCTAGCACCTGGCCGATTGTGGCATTCGCCATTTTGCGGCCAAAAAGTTGGGTACAGCAATCATCGTGGATGTCCCACATCTGGACACGGAACGGAGCTATTGCTAGTTCCTCAAAGACCCTTTTTGTGACTGTCGGGATCCATGCCCGGAGATGAAGGATCCTATCCTTGATTACCCATGGTGTTCGCCTAAGGACCCAGAGCTTGGTTGCTTCATCGGGGAGGATGAACTCGTAGAGACCTTGAGCTGCCAATCGGACCTGAATCCGCCCTTGACCTTGCCAATGGGTATTAACCGCGTCCCTTAGCTCCACCAAGGACAGGCTATTTTCCGAAAAAACCCTGCCAAGCAATCCTCGAGCTTTGCGAATTCTGTCCGACTGGACTTCCTCCATGAAAAAATGGACGATCTGGTCAGACGATATGTGCTCCATCAGCCTTTTCTGCACAGGTAGCCACGGCAAAGTTTTATCAACAAACTCACCTCACTTGCACCCCGCAGAACCAGACCATGGATAGGAAGAAGAGACTAATGATAATTGGAACATGAATAAATCATCCCCATGCACCGAAATCATAGAATAAATAGTGGGTTTGTCCACGTACCAGATGATCCCAAGTGTCGACTACAGTATCCTCTTCTTCGCACCTTTTCCCCTGCCTCGCTCTGCGTTCTTGACTGCAGTAAATGGGCGGGTTTGTGGGGAATAAATAGGCCTAGGAGGAGGATGTTCAGTGACACTAGGATTCCTTTTCGGGTACTGCCATATCTTTTTGTGATTTATCTCCTTAACCGAGAATAATTTCCCCCTTTTCACGGGGATACGCCGCAACGGGAAAACCCCTACGCCGTTATCCCAGACTGAAACTCCGGATCCCACGCATGCATCCAATCTGTTTGGAAACTCACCAGGGAATCCATCGTTTGCACGGCTCAATCGCCTGTGCCGACTACTACGGTGAACCAGCACGAAATGAACCTCTCGCCGGCGCCGTAGAACAAGTTCCGGCGCCTTTTTTCCCACCAACAGGGTTAACGAACTTGCTCCATTTTGGAGTCTAAGTTCCGGCCTTCTTGATACACCAAAGGGGTCTGCATTCATAGTACAGACCTTGACATAGCTCACTGGAGGAGCAGGTTTCTCCTGTCCATTACATTCCAGCTCGCAAGGAGGGGGCAGTATGAACCGCCATGCCTTCAATAAGGAGCGTCGCACTCGTTTCCGATACCGCATCTCCGAGTCTTTACTCCCCTCTCCAACGTCTCCCACTGACCATTTTCGTTTCATGGGAGCCACCTTATTCTTTTCGTCCGCAGCGTAGCCACGAGCACTGCGCTGGACTCGTTTAGAGTCCTTGATTACCAGCAGGGGGGACTCAACCGAGTCGTCCCTCGGTGCGCCATTCCGGCCCTGCTTCCCACGATACGATTGAAACATCATTGCTCCTTGATTTGCTACCGCCACCGCGATCACCACCGCCAAGCAGCCCAGCAGGGCCTGACCGGCCCTCATGCCGATCTCCAAGAGCATCAGCATCTCGACGACCATCCGACTTTCAAGAGAGAGGGGAGAGCATCCTAAAATGTCATTTATTAAAAAAATTAATAAATATTTTTCTATATCCAATTTGCGCTTAATAACCATGGTAAATATTAGCAATCACCATAATCGCTCCCTTCCTTCCTCCCTCACCTCCTCGACCAAACCCAGGTCCCCTCCCCTCCGGCGGATCTCATCACCATCGCTCACATTCCCTAATCGGCCATAAACCCCCAAATTGGATAGCATAACCAACCAATTCAAAACCTTCCCTAATCACCTTCTTGTCACCACCACCGGCAGCCCAAAGGTCGCCGCCCCTTGTCGCCAGACGACTGCGCCTCCTCTCCTGCGAGCGGTGTCTCTTCCGCGCCCCGTCGTTTCGCCGCTGCTCGTCTCCGCCTCCTCTCAACTCCGACCAGCACCTCTACTTCTTCTTCTCCTTCGGATTTCTTTGGTTTTGGGTGAGTTTTTCGGGGATGTGAAGTGGAAGAAACATGAGTCATCTCTTAGTTTCGCATGCCCCAAACTGACAATCGCCAAATCTCGTTCTCAATCTCTTATTGGCAATCGCCGAATCTCGTTCTCGATCGATTCAATCTCCAGATCTATTTTCTTTTCATCCTGATGACGAGGAGTAAACGACTACGGTGAGACTGGGTTTCCATTTTTTTCCTCGACGATTTTTTCGGTGGGAAGTTAGTTAACTCACCGCCACAAAGCCCTGCCGCCGTTCCTAATTGACGAAGAAGAGTTTAAGGTACTCTTTGAATTTTTAATAATCTTTTACCCCAAAATAATTAATGGTTGTGTAAATTTAATTAATATCCACTTGGCATGTTAATAGTTTAACTTTCTTGCCACGTAATTAATAATTTTGCCACGTTAGAGTCAAATTACGGTTGACCGGATGAAAAGTTAAAAATTTGGCTATTAAATTGTTTTCATAAAGATTTGGCTATTATTTTGTTTAAAATGAAAAGTTTGACTATTATAATGTATTTACGCAAATGAAAATGACAGGATATATAGCAGCAGAAATAAGCATGTCGTGTCCTCTATCTAAATTCACAAGTTGTATGATCATACTTTAAGGAGAAGATCAAAAGCATTCTCCCAAACGACATTAACGATCAAAATTTTCCATTGCATCAGCAATCGCGTTAGCATCCTCAAGAATTTTATAGGCGAGAATTTGCAATTATGATTCCAATTAGGATGGAAAAGCTCTTCTTGTGGGAGGATAAGGTGGAAACAATTTGGTACCACTACTTCTATCATTACGCAAAATAGTTAGAATATGTTCACAATCCTTAGTAACACATCATCAACTTCTGTCTTCTGCTACCAAATATTAAGAATATGAACTCCACCATCCAATTCTCCTTCCTCTTCTTGGCTCCCCGGCCCGATCTAATTAGTCATACTAATATCCTCCTAACACTATTGCCTATGCTATGAGTCCTAGCACATATAAATAAATAAATAACCAACAAATGTACAGTATAGTGTACAGGTATAACCCCTCCTGATAAACATAAGACGTCCCACTTGGAAAATGGAAACTCATCAGTGTCCTTCACCTTTCCTGCTCGGCCCAGATGCCAAGTTACTGTTCACAACCGCCGTCGCCGGATCTTGATCACCCCCTCCTCTGCCGTCAGGATCCTTCACCGTCTCCGATGCTCTGGCGACAGAGTTAGTGGCAGTAGCAGTGGTGGTGGTGGCAGAGGCAGAGTAACCAGCTGCAGCAGGAACTTCATTATTTGCATGGTCGTGAAATATTAGGAGAGCTCGAGAACGGGCAAAGCGAGGCTGGGAGACTAAAATGAAGAAGATTAAGAGGGCAAGAACTGACGCGAAGGAGGGTCTCATTGATCACTTGCTCTGTTTTCCTCTGTTTTTTTTTTTGGGTGGGTGGAAAGCCAAGGTTTAAAGTTTTGTTGGTGGGAACTAGTGATCAATATATATACTTAGTTTGGACGATCCTAATTGAGAACTTTTGGGGGGAAAGAAAGATTCTTTGGACCAAGAACAAAAAGGATGGAGGGTCCTTGAAGTCCCCTGAAAGAATGGAGCAGAGGGAAAAGGGCTAAGTTATTATAATTGAGAAAGAAGCTAGCTCCAGAACTCTGTTTTACAACTACAAATTGGGAAATGGAATCTCCCAGAAAAACAAATACCATTTTTTTCCTGTAAAGGCGACGGAACAGGCTGTGGGAAGGAATAGAAGAGTGGCGTTCAAGGAAGTTAGCGTGATTGAGCAGGTGGTGGCGGGAGAGTGGCGTCGCGGTCGTGGGGCAACAAAGGAACGGACGGAGAATGGCTTTTAGGAATTTTGGTTTTTTATTCTTCTTGGTAGAGGGAAAGAACATTTTACCATGAATGGAACAAATGTGATGCAGTTTTGATTGATGGGGGAAAGGAATGCTTTATTGCTTTTGTTCTTTCTGGGGTGGTTTCCATACTGATAAAAACCAGCTTTCGTTTTCGAGATATCATTATCAGCCACGCCTTACCTGGAAAGTTGGTGGGGGCTCTTGCAGATTCCGTACCGGTGAAAGTTGCGGACAGTATGTTTAACTTATGTGCGACGCAGGGGAGAGATACTTTCGAGATATATTATTATTACTATTTTGTTCGAGTTTGGCATTACATTTGCACCTGTGATATTAAAAAGGTTAATAACTTAGTTTGACTCGAACTATACACATATTTTCTACTTTGGTCTGTGGTATTGAAAATTGCTATTCTGGCCTAAATTATGTAGCAAATTTCTTCATTTGGCCTGGAGGCGGGTTTGACCGTTAAATTAAACGGTCAAACTTGTTGACCGTTAGTCAATGGCCACCTCACCTGTCACGTCAGCTTTGAGGAAATAAAATATTTTTTTATTTCTGATTTTTGTTTTCTTGTCATTTGCTAAAAATGGGCCATTTTTCGTTCTTTTAATTAATTTTTCTGATTTATTATTTTTATTAATCGAAAGAAAACGAAATTCAAAAATAAAGAAAATTATTTTTTATGTCCTCAAAGCTGACGTGGCAGGTGAGGTGGACATTGACTAACGCTCAACAGGTTTGACCGTCTAATTTGACGGTCAAACCCGCCTCCATGCCAAATGAGGAAGTTTGTTACATAGTTCAGGCCAGAATAGCAATTTTCAATACAACGGGCCAAAGTAGAAAGTATGTGTATAGTTCAGGCCAAACTAAGGTATTAACCCTTAAAAAAACTGAATTGCTATTCGTCGCCCTAATATTTAAAAAAATTCGCCCTAAATCATACTACATTGACGTTTATACCCTTATTTCCAATTTCAATCCTCAACCCCTAACTTCCCCCACCAGCCAAATTCCGGTCGCCGCCGTTGTTCACGCAACTTACCGCATCTCTCATTCCGCCAGAGAAACATAGCTTCTTCCTTGGCCTTCCATCTATCTAATCCCAACCCATTCTTCCGCCACATCGCACATAAATGAAAGGCCTTTTTGTTGTTTTTCTCTTTATATTGTCCCCAGAATTGGTTCTTGAAAAGCTTTTAAATTTTCCATTAGAGAATCAAAAAATGCTCACTGAAGGAGTGTATTTGCAGCCATGGAGAAGATTATGAAGGTTGTGGCTGTGATTTCTGGGGCTCATTGCTCTGGATGCCACGGTAGTTGCAACTTGATCATGATCACAATCAAGCGGATTGGGTTTAGAGTGCAACCTAGTTCCCGGCGGCGGAGGTGCTTTGAAGAGCGATGTTGCTCTCGTTGAGATGATGAAGATTAGGGATTTCCGATTTTTTTTAATTTTGATTTGGTTATTAAGTAATTCTATATTTAAAGTTAGGGCGACAAAAGTAAAATTAGCGTTTAAATGTTCGAAAGACAAAAAAAAGTTAAGGGCATAAGAGTAAATTTTATATAATTAGGGCGACGAATAAGGATTTTTAGGGCGACGAATAGCAATCCCCTAAAAAAAAGGCAAAATACACTTTCATCACCATAATTATTCGCATTGTGACAAATATAGTCAAAATTTGAAAAATATACTCGTATAGTCATTCCGTCCAAAACTTTAACGAGAATGTTACGACTACTGACTGGACTAACGGATGTTTGTAACGTGGCCGCGGTTCATCTGCGTGGCAGGACAGGTGGAAATTGTATCTTATTTCATTACTTAAAAAATAAGTTAAGACCCTAAAACTAAATTTCCCAATTAATCGACCATGTTTACCATTTCTAACTCACTTTACCCTTTCTCTTCTCTCCTTATTCTCTCGTGAAACAACTCCCCCATCACTCCAGATCAACGAAGTGAATCGATCGAAGACAACACCCCGACGGCTCGACCCACCTCTCCGTCGGTCCAGTGAACAACGTCTCCCCGTATCGCTCCTCCATCTCCGGTGAAGACAAAGGAAACCATGCATCATCCGGGTGGTGAATAGACGATGTCGGCGAACCCTATTCCTTCATCGCACCCATTTTTCGTCGCACCCATCCTTCCTCGCACCCATCGCTTGAATCGTCCAACCCAGAACCGTGACGCAAGGTTGGCGAACCCTAATTTTATATTCACGTTTTGAGTCTTTCGTCTAATTGGATTGTGGTGGCTGGTGAGTGAAGACAAGAGTGGGGTTGTAGTGTTTGAATGTTATTGCCAGAATGAGGTTGATTAAAGTGCAGTTGTTGGTATCTATTTATAGGTGTTGGCGATCTGTAAAGCTTGGAGAGCGACACAACAAGTTCGTGAAGGGACCACACATATTCTCTTTGTTGCGAGATTGCCCCTGAATCGTATGGTAAGAAGCTCATTACATTGGATACAACAGTCAATTTTCAGTGACGACAAATGTGCTTTGAAATTGGTTATTTGATTCGCAATTCTTTAGTAGATAGCCTGTTGTATGCGATTTGTTTATTCTAGAGCATTAGGTTGGTTCCAATTAAATATTAATTCTGTAATAATATAGTATATAATGACGATAAGGTTGTTATCTTAACAAATGGCAGACTCATGGGATGAATTGGCAGGCGAAAATGACCCAAATCAGATTGCGCATGATGAGGCTTTGCTAGGCACAAACAATATTGGAGTTGCATCCATTGCTCCTGATATCTATCATGTTTATGACTCTGATGATGCAATGACATCAGATGATGAATATCACGAGGCTAGAGCTAATCTACGTGCATATGGTGAAGGGAGGAAAAGGAGAGTGATTACAAGAGTGGCTGGTGGTGGTGAAGAGGTAGACCAACTTGAGAAATTCGAAGAAGATGACTCTGACAACGGGGAGGAGGAAGGAGAAGATGATGGTGAGAATTAATACCACTCCATTCCCCACAAGAATACAGAGCCATCTGAACAACCTCAGCCACCTCAAGAAGGTAATGGGGAGGGCTCTCAGCATTCGAACTACACGTTGTCAGAAGACTCAGATCATGTAAGGGGCAACTTGTCAAATGAGGAGGGTGATGAGTTGCATGATGATTCACCACGGTATGATCCACTCTGCAACCACAAGACACTCCCGTTTGTGTGTAAAATGAAATTCTATGGGGTAGAGCAGTTCAAAGATGGTGTTGTGAGACATGTTGTAGCACATGGTGCATGTCTGAGATGGATTCGGAGCAACCCTACGAGGAGAGAGGTGAAGTGTAAGGATGACAACTGTCCATGGAAGTTGTATGCAAGCTGGTTCAGGAAGGATAAATGCTTCATGATAAGGAAAGTGGGGCTGCCACACTCATGTGCAAGGCGTCTCTCGGTTAACCAAGTCACAACAAAGTGGATAGCCTCAGATATGTTAGAGACATTCAGAATTAACGCAGAGTGGGCTCCGGAACAGATTATGGCTGAGGTGAAGTTAAAGCACAACATGGAGGTGAAGATGAGAACTTGCTACAAAGCTAAATTAGAGGCTAATAAGATATTAAGTGGCTTCTTGAGTGATGAGTATAACGTGATTATGAGGTATGTTGCTGAGCTGAAGAAGAGAGATAGGGAAGGTCGTTTCCAGCTGGAAGTAGATCCGCACCCAGACGAGGATAATTGCTTATTCAAGCGTTTATATGTTGGTTTTTCCTGCTAGTTTTTGTATCAATAGTGGGTAGTTTGATAGTTGTTTAGGTTTGTGGAGCTTAGAGGTGTTCATTATTGTTTTATGATTATTTAATAATAATACATTATGATTGAGTTTTTTATGTATTATCGTATATGGTTTATTGATATTGAATATATTGTAATCAATTGTGCTTCAAATGAGCTTGATTGGGTAACAATTTTCATATGTTATGGAATCACCCAATACTGATACATGCATTGTATGTTGGTTGGATAGAATAATTGTGATAACATGATCTAGCATACTCGTATGCCATTTTGTATTACTCTTGTACTGTATTTAATACAAGTGCGTAAGACAAACTAATAGATTGAAATAGGAGGATAAAACTTAATCAAATGCGTTTGATTTAAAAAGTAATTTCTAAGAATCTAAAACAATCAATAAGAAAAAGTGAAAAGCCTTTGCCATAAAAATGCACAGAGATCATGTTGGATTTTTTGAATCCTTGTTTAAGCTCTAATTTCATATTAACAACCAGTAGGATCCAATAAACTGTCTAGCAATGGTCCGCTACTATCACATCTCTTTTTTTGCATATGATCATATCATGTTCAGTGCAGCAACAGTGGAGCAGGCAGAGATAATTCTATAGTGCTTTGATAAGTTTGGGGACAACAAATCGGCAAACCAAAATCTTGAGTTTTTTTTTCTCTACCAATGTGAGTACGACAGGTGGACAAACAATTAGTACGAATCTCGGCATGCCGGCAACAAATAACTTGAGGGTTCTGGTGATTCACGATCAAGTATCTAAGCATACCTTTACTACAGTGATTGATAGGATTAACGTCGGACTTGCTGAATGGAAGGTGGCCACTATGTCACTTGCTGCACTGATTACTCTTGCTCAGTCGGTTCTATCATCATTCCCGACATACACCATGCAGACAACCCTCCTCTCGGTTAGTGTGTGGAATTGTATTGATAAGAAAATCAGGGCATTTATTTGGGGAAGCTCGGAGATAGGACGGAAAGTGTTGAAATTAAATAAAGTTTAATAAAAAAAATATCTAAACATCCTAGAAGCTAGTAGATGAGTGTGGATTCTGCTGGAGAAGAAGAAAAAAATCAGCAATGAATTAAATGTGTTAGTTGGGTAGTTGTATGATTATGGATTAAAAAAAAAAAAAAACAAGAACCACATGTTTGAGTCGGTTGTGGGAGAGTGTTCAGGAGAATGAAGCCTATAAATAGGCTTGTCCATGTAAGTTTGAAAAGCAGAGCAAAAAGAACAAAGAAGCCTCTTAATAAAGACAAGTGAAATTCTCATCACTTCTCTGCGGCCTACACTCTTCCTAAAAAAAAGCCCTCTTCCAATCTCCAATCATAAAAACCCCAAAACTTTCTTTCCTTGTAAAAACGTGGCCATCATATATAAAAATCCAAATTCCATTTTCTTAGCCCATAAACGTGCCCACCAAATTACTAAAGGAAATAATTTATTTATTTCCAACAAAGTGGTATCAGAGCCCGAGTTATTTCCGAGTATGCTCTGTGGTTGCAGCGTAGTCTGAACTTCCACATCAGAAAAGAATTTCTCGTGCTATTGTTATCACGATTGTCCCATGGCCGAAAAATCCACTTTCCCCATTCAATTCCCCCACCTTACCAAAACCAATTATAAAAATTGGTGCATTCGTATGAAAGCCTTGTTTGGATCCCAAGATGCTTGGGATATTGTCGAAAAAGGCTACGAGATTCCCGTGGAGGATTCTCGGTTATCTCTTGCTGAAAAGGAGGTGTTGAGAAAGAATCGAAAGAGTGATCAGAAAGCACCCACTCTCATTCATCAGTGTCTTGATGAATCGATGTTCGATCAAATAGCAGATGCTACCACAGCAAAGGAAGCATGGGATATTTTGCAAAAGGAAATGCAAGACGTAGAACCAGTAAAGAAGGTTCGACTTCAGACACTAAGGGGAGATTTTGAAGCTATTAAAATGAAGGAAGGTGAATCTGTTTCAGATTACACCGCCCGTGTGAAGTCAGTCGTCAGCAAACTGAAGTAGTATGGGGAGAAAATTGAAGAGACCAAAGTGGTGGAGAAAATTCTACGGTCATTATTACCAAAGTTTGACTATGTGGTGGTGGCTATGGAGGAAGCTAAGGACGTGTCAAAAATGACGGTTGATGAAGTCATCGGTTCATTACAAGCCAGAGAAGAAAGACTAAATAAAAGAAATGAAGAATCATCAGAACAAGTGTTGGCTACAAAAGCTACCACTGAGGAGAAAGAAGGTGCCCGAGGAGGAGGTCAGTACAGAGGTCGAGGCAGAGGCAACTACAGAGGCAGAGGAAGAGGAAGAGCCCAAGGAGCATATCAAAGCAGAGACGGAAGAAATTTTACCACGAACAATTATGAAACGTCCACTAGAGGCAGAGGTTGTGGTCATGGACGTGGAAGAGGAAGTTGGAGATCCAATGAAGGTCGTGATAAATCCAACATCCAGTGCCATAATTGCTCGAAGTACGGGCATTATGCATCAGAATGTTGGAGTCCGCCTAAAGAAGTGGAGGAGACAGCAAACAATGTGCAAGAAGAAGTCAAAGGCACATTGATGCTGTCACATCAAGGAGATGAGAAACCGAAAGACAACATGTGGTATCTGGATAATGCAGCGAGCAACCACATGTGTGGAAAAAGAAATATGTTCGTGGATATGGATGAGTCAGTGAAAGGAAATGTCGTATTTGGAGACTCCTCGAAGGTTCCTATCAAAGGCAGAGGAACTATACTCATCCGGCTGAAGAATGGCTCACAACAATTTATCAGTGATGTGTACTATGTCCCAGACATGACTAGTAACATCCTGAGTTTGGGTCAGCTGATGGAGAAAAATTATGAAGTTCATATGGTGAATCGTCAATTGGAGCTATTAAATGAGAAGAAGCAGTTGTTGGCCAGAGTCCCAATGTCGAGAAACAGAATGTTCACGTTGAACATTCAAACTGAAATAGCGAAATGCTTGAAAGCATGTCTGAAGGATAATACATGGTTATGGCATCTGAGGTATGGCCATCTAAATTTTGGAGGTCTCAAGTTACTCGGTCAGAAGAAAATGGTGCATGGTCTGCCAGTGATCAATCATCCAGACCAATTGTGTGAAGGTTGCTTAGTTGGGAAGCAATTCAGGGAAAGTTTCCCGAAGGAGTCCCTAGCAAGAGCTAAAGCACCACTTGAGCTCGTCCATGCAGATCTCTGTGGACCGATCACCCCAACATTGTTCGGAAAGAACAAATATTTTCTATTGTTCATTGATGATTACAGTAGAAAGACATGGGTATACTTCTTAAAGCAGAAGTCAGACACATTTGAAGCTTTCAAGAAGTTCAAGATGATGGTGGAGAATGAAAGTGGCCGCTACATCAAAGCAATGAGATCAGATAGAGGGGGAGAATTTATGCTAAAGAAGTTCAGAAGGTTCTGTGAATATCAAGGAATTCGCAGGTTTCTCACAGTCCCAAGATCCCCACAGCAAAATGGAGTCGTTGAGAGGAAGAACAGAACTGTCCTCAACATGGCGAGAAGCATGATGAAGAGCAAGAACCTGCCAAAGGAGCTATGGGCTGAAGCTGTTGATTGTGCAGTCTACTTGCTGAACAGGTCACCAACAAAGAGTGTTTGGAATCAAACACCCCAAGAAGCATGGAGCGGAAGGAAACCCACAATCTCTCACCTCCGAGTCTTCGGAAGTGTCGGATATGTGCATGTACCGGATCAAGAAAGGAAGAAGTTGGATGACAAAAGCAAGAAGTACATATTTCTGGGATACTCAGAACACTCAAAAGGTTACAAAATGTTTGATCCCGTGGAAGAGAAGTTGATCATCAGCAGAGACGTGGTAGTTGATAAAGAAGCAGCATGGGATTGGACTGCTGAAGCAAAGAAGAATTACACTTTTTATCCATTCACTATGGATGAAAGTGATGATGAACCTGATACATCTACACCTGTGACTAGTCCACCCAGTCACAGAGAGCCTGCCAGCCCAGAAGAAGAATCTAGTGAAAGTCCCCGAGAAAGGCCACAGAAGTATAGGAGACTTGAAGAAATTTATGAGGAAACGACAACCATTGAAGGTGATGAATTGACACTCTACTGTCATTTCATTGATAGTGAACTAGTTGATGTTGAAGAAGCCATGAAGGATGAAAAATGGAAAAGAGCCATGGATGAAGAAATTGGAGCAATTGTGAAGAACAAGACTTGGGAGCTTGTATCACTACCTGAGAACCAGAAGCCCATTGGTGTGAAGTGGGTATTTAAAGCAAAGAAGAATGCTAAAGGAGAAGTTGTCAGACACAAAGCAAGATTGGTGGTGAAAGGATATAGTCAGAGACCAGGCATTGACTATAATGAAGTTTTTGCTCCTGTAGCAAGAATGGAGAGTATCATGATGGTGATATCTCTCGCTGCTCAAAATGGATGGAAGATACATCAAATGGATGTGAAGTCAGCTTTTTTGAATGGATATCTCGAGGAAGATATCTATGTGGAGCAACCACCTGGATATATCGTCGAAGGTCAAGAAGATAAGGTGTTGAAGCTGAAGAAGGCATTGTATGGTCTGAAACAAGCACCGAGAGCTTGGAATAGCAGGATTGACAAGTATTTTCAGCAGAATGGATTCAGCAAATGCCCACATGAGCATGCACTATACTGCAAGGTGCAAGGGGGAGCAATCTTGATGGTTTGCCTATATGTAGATGATCTTGTCTTCATAGGCAACGATCCTCAAATGTTTGAAGAGTTCAAGAAGACGATGGTTCGTGAGTTCGAGATGACAGACATCGGACTAATGTCATACTATCTTGGAATTGAAGTAAGTCAAAAAGAGGAAGGAATTTTCATCTCACAGGGTGGTTTCGCCAAGGAAGTCTTGAAGAAGTTTAAGATGGAGAATTGTAATCCTGTGAGTACACCAGCTGAGTGTGGACTGAAACTATCAAAGGATGACAAAGGAGAGAAGGTCAACTCAACGGAGTTTAGAAGCCTTGTCGGAAGCCTGAGATATCTTACTTGTACCAGACCAGATATTCTCTACGCAGTTGGATTAGTCAGCAGATACATGGAGGCACCAACTATGTCACACTGGAATGCTGCAAAGAGGATATTACGCTACATCAAAGGTACAATCGATCATGGTCTGCTTTATACTAAGTCAGAAAATTTCAAATTGGTTGGATACTGCGACAGTGATTGGGCAGGAGACGACGATGATCGCAAGAGCACTACATGATTTGTATTTTTCCTGGGAGATACAGCTTTCACATGGAGTTCAAAGAAGCAAGCTATCGTGACACTGTCAACTTGTGAAGCTGAGTATGTTGCTGCGACATCGTGTGCGTGTCATGCAATATGGCTGAGAAAATTGCTGAAGGAATTGAACATGGCACAGGAAGAATCAACTGAAATTTATGTGGATAACAAGTCTGCCCTAGCGTTAGCAAAAAATCCGGTGTTTCATGATCGCAGTAAGCATATTGATACAAGATATCATTTCTTGAGAGAGTGCGTGGAGCAGAAAGAAGTGATGCTGAAGTATGTGAAGACTGAAGACCATATTGCTGATATTTTCACGAAGCCGCTAAAGCAAGATGTGTTCGTCAAGATGAGGACGCTACTCAGAGTTACGACTAATTAAACTTTAAGGGGGAGTGTTGAAATTAAATAAAGTTTAATAAAGAAAAATCTAAACATCCTAGAAGCTAGTAGATGAGTGTGGATTCTGCTGGAGAAGAAGAAAAAAATCAGCAATGAATTAAATGTGTTAGTTGGGTAGTTGTATGTTTATGGATTTAAAAAAAAAACAAGAACCACATGTTTGAGTCGGTTGCGGGAGAGTGTTCAGGAGAATGAAGCCTATAAATAGGCTTGTCCATGTAAGTTTGAAAAGCAGAGCAAAAAGAACAAAGAAGCCTCTTAATAAAGACAAGTGAAATTCTCATCACTTCTCTGCCGCCTACACTCTTCCTAAAAAAAAGCCCTCTTCCAATCTGCAATCATAAAAACCCCAAAACTTTCTTTCCTTGTAAAAACGTGGCCATCATATACAAAAATCCAAATTCCATTTTCTTAGCCCATAAACGTGCCCACCAAATTACTAAAGGAAATAATTTATTTATTTCCAACAGAAAGTTCACCTTTTAGACCCGGACGCTATCTGTCAGCCGAAGGAAGAAGGGGGACTGGGACTTCGAAGTGCTGCTAAAATGAACGAGCCATTCATACTGAAAGTGGCGTCGAGATTACTTACAAAACCGGACATTCTTTGGGTGCGGGTTGTCAGATCAAAATATATGACCCAATCCGAGGAAGGCTACATACCCCAAAGATCAGGCCGCATCTCTAACCTGTGGCGGGGCGTCTATGTGTCATCCACTTGCTCCCGGATGCTGTGATGTGGAATTTTCGGAGTGGGTGTCAAACTCTATTATGGAAAGAACGTTGGATGCAGGATGGGCGTCTGTTAGCTGAGCTGGTGGATTATGTGCCGGAGGGAGATGCCTCTCTCAAGGTAGCTGAGTTGACTCTCAATGGGGAATGGAATGAGATTTATTTGATGGCTCTCCTGCCTGCGAATTTGGTCGAAATGATTAAGCTGCAGTTCCTTGCGGGACAGATAGAGACGTACCGGTTTGGCGTCTTTCACCAAATGGTCAATTCACTCTAAAGTTAGCATATGGATTAAAAGACGAGGAGGATAGACCAGGGGATTGTCATCCAGTTTGGAAGGCAGTGTGGCGAACTCCAGCCACAAAACGAGTCTGATTTTTCTTTTGGTTGCTGGTGCATGATAGATTATTGACTAATGATTAGAGGCACTGCCATAACCTGAGTCCAACGCAGAAATGCCCAATCTGCGATGGTGAGGTGGAAATCAGCCTCCATGTGGTTTGTGATTGTTCTTTGGCGCTTGCGGTGTGGGCAGAAATTCTGGGTGCTGAAACCGATGAATTGTTCTTCCAGCAAGATAAGACCGAATGGGCACTTCATTATATAACGGGTCAGAGCAGTAATGTGGATCCAAACGAGTCTACTGCCTAATGTCGAAAAATAGTAATAAGTAAGTTTTTGAGAAAGAGCTTAGTTCCCCGGATGTGATCAAAATTTGAGGTAACCATTTGCTCCAGCAGGTATGGCAGCTGCAAAAAGACATGTATTTGGGACGAAGACAAGCACAAATAGAAGAAGGCATGACATGAGGTGGGAGAATCCCCCTTAAGGTTGGGTGTCGTGTACATGAATTTGGATGGTTCATTTGTGAATGGGCAAGCGGCAGCGGGTGGAGTCTTGTGAAGGGAGGATGGAAGAATGATGAAAGCCTTTGCCATGAATTTGGGAGAAATATCCATCACTAGAGTGGAGCTGGAGGGCATTGTTCATGGGATGTGTTTGGCGTGGGCACAAGGCTACATGAAAATTATGGTGCATACCGAATCACAGATTGTGATCCATTTGCTTAGAGAGAAGATAATAGACTTGGTCACCGCCAAGCCCCTTGGTGAATATGTCACCAAGCTGATCACGCGAAGACACCTTGGCCGGGAGAATAGTGTGAGCTGTAACATGATCCCGAACAAAGTATCAGTCAAGTTCAACGTGCTTCGTCCTCTCATGAAACACGGGATTAGCGGCAATGTGTAGCGCAGAGAACTTCGCTAACATCACTAGCCATGGCCAGATATTCAGCTTCGGCAGAAGACCGAGCAACAACGGTCTGCTTCTTAGTGCGCCAAGAGATTGGAACATTCCCCAACATGAAAAAATAGCCTGAGGTAGTGCAACGAGTATGCTGGCATCCAGCCCAATCGGTGTCACAATAGGCAGTCAACTCCACGAAACTAGAAGACAGCAAGAGAATGCCCTACCCCGAGGCATTTTTCAAGTAATGAAGAATCCTTTCGGCAGCAGCAACATGTGCAGAAGAAGGAGAGTGCACATACCAGCTGAGAATTTTGACAGAATAAACAATGTCAGGCCGCGTAATAGTGAGATACTATAAGCGGTCGACCAAGAGACGATAAGCAAACAGGTCAATCTCATGTGAAGAAGCAGTCGAGGCCTCGACGGAAACAACATCCCCGTCAATAGGAGGCTGAGTAAGATAGTGATTTTGTTCAATGGGCATAGAACCGGGACGCCCCCCATAAGACCAACATCCTGAATCAAATCAAGGGTGTACTTGTGTTGGTTCAAGAAAATACCCTTTCGAGAGCGAGAAACTTCAATCCCCAAAAAGTACTTCAAGGGGCCGAGATTCTTGATGCTCAATTGTTCATCCAGCGTTGTTTTAACATGCTGAATGAAGTCAGCATCATCACCAGCAAGAATGACATCATCGACATAGATCAACATAGTGACAAAACTAGTAGCATTTTCGAACAAACATCGAATAATTAGCACGAGTATCACCAAGAGCAGCAAACCAAGAGGTATTGTCATATAAACCTTCTCCTCAAGGTCACCATGCAAAAAGGCATTATTCACATCAATCTGATGAACAACCCATCCGTGAATTGCACGGTGCATACGTGTCATGATAATCAATCCCCTCGACCTGTGTAAAGCCTTTTTCCAGGGTCCCATCCGGATGATATTTTATTTTATACACCCACTTGGGCGTGATGGCCTTTTTCCGAGCGAAAAAGAAACCAAAGACCAAGTATTATTCGCCTCCAAAGCATCAATTTCACGTTGCATGGCAGCACGCCACTCAACATGATGGATGGCTTGATGAAAATGATTAGGTTCAAGAACTTGAGACACTGAGGCCAAGAAAGCTCGATGACTAGGAGAGAAAGCATGATAACTCACAAGTTGGGCAAACGAATGAGGTATGTTGGACGGAGGCAACTCTGCACCATACACATCAAGGTCGCGAGGCATAAACCGCTCCTGAACACTACGTCACACCTTAGGCTGGCGAGGAGAAGCTTCCTATGAGATGTCAGCGGAAGTAGGAGGGTCATCAGGCGACTCGGAAGAATAAGAAATGGACTTGTCAAGGTCATGGGAAGCAACTGGAGCGAGGCAAGACGACACGATAAGAGGAGTCAGTAGTCGCCTTGGCTTGGAATGGGAAGACATGTTCGACGAAAACCACATCGTGACTCACGTAGAAATGACGAGCTGTAAGTTTCCAAAGGCGATACCCCTTTTTTGAGCCGGGTATCCAACAAAAATAGAGGGATGCCCTCGTTTAGCAAACTTCGAGAGGCCCTTACGAGTATCCTTATCATAAGCTAGAGAGCCGAAGACGCGGAGGTGACCATAGATAGGAGAGTGACCAAGTAGAACTTTATACGGGGTGCGGTTCGCAAGAACCTTAGAGGGAAGCCGATTGATCAAATATGTTGCCATAAGGACCGAATCTCCCCAGAATGACAAGGGTAGATTAGCATAAAACATGAGTGCACGAGCAGTGTCTAAGAGATGTCGATGTTTTCATTCCACGACCCCATTATGCTGCGGGGGTATCAGTACATGTTTGAAGAAGAATGTGCCGAGCCTCATAAAAGGATCACAAACCCGTTGCTTGAAACTCCACTCCATTATCTGCCTGAATATGAGTAACCGGTTTCCCAAATTGAGTAGCAGCCATGTTGATAAACATCTAGAGATATCGTTCTGTCTCACATTTGTATCTCATCAAATAAACCCAAGTAGCCCGGCTAAAATCATCAACTATCGTAAAAAAATAATAAACACCAATATGAGTAGGGGTCTGAAAACCACCCCAAATATCCACATGTATTAGCTGAAAACAACGAGTACTTTTGACAGTACTCTTATGAAAAGGTGATCGGGTTTGTTTTGCACGAATACACGAATTAAAGGAATCAATCGTGCACTTATTCTTAATGGAATCAAATAAAAAATTGGTCTTCTCCGCACCCGGGTTCCCCAGACGTAAATGCTAGACTGCATCCATCTTCGAAGTCCCCATGGATGCTGCCAAAGCCTTTGACCTGGTGGCGCCAAATAGCTGGAGATAGTAGAGACCATCTCTTAACTTCCCACTACCAATCATCCTCCTGGAGTGTAAGTCCTGAGCGACGCCGGGGGGTAATCGGCGTACTCTGATCAGTGGGGGGGAATCTTTGGCTCTATTGAACATACAAGGAATTAGAGGTAGCATTCTACCGATGTTAAGTCATGGACTGGTTTCTTTAGCCCTTTTTCTATGTGTTGGTGTTCTATATGACCGACTCTGTGCGGCTAGAGGCACTAGCCACGGTTTTGAGACTAATATCTCTTAATATGTGGTTAACAACCTGGAGTTACGCATGTCTACTGGTTAATTCTAGTGGATTTGCCTCTGACCCTATCTATGATACGATAGGCATTGTGCAAAAATATCAAAGCCACGTCAAAATCTTGTCTCAACCTGCTGACCGAAAGAAGATTGCACTTAAACAAGGGTATGTTCAGAACATGACTCAGTTTCATTCTTCGTGACAGCCTAACATCACCCATTCTTGTAACCGGTATGCTATCCTCGTTAGGTATTTTGACAGGAAGATAACCAGTGACATCCTCCGCATTCTCTAAAAGTCTTGAATAATTTGTTATGTATTCATTGCAAACCGAGTTGATAACCCATTCAAAGCTACATAATTGCTTATCAGCCATGTTTGCCTCCGACTCTGTAGCTTTGGACGAAGACCCCTGACCATTAGTTTGGCTTAAAAACTAAACAAGCTGTTGAACTTGTTCGGCGGACAATCTCGGATTGCTAACACCATTTGTTGGGTTCGAGGAGGCCTGAGCTGCCCGGGGAGTCTCCTTGCGTTGGACGAGCTTCCCTCCCTTCTCACTCGATCGTCCCTTTCTTCTCTACCCACCATTCCAGAAATCCAATGATCTCAAAGCAAGTTTCCTTTGCATGACTACTCTTCAGGCAATGACTACAACAGAACTTCTCCGTCCGTTCTGCCCTCTCCTCACGACGACCCTCACGATCTTGATGTGCCTGGAAGGCTGCAACATCAACAACAGGACGGCGATTGGCAAAGATTCTCTTGTCCTACTCCTCATCAGGCACAAGACGATAAGCTTCGCAAAGATTCGACGTAGATTTCATAGAAAGAATCTGTGTCTTCACGGTCGAAAAAGAGTCATCAAATCCCATAAGAAAGTCTAACAAGTGATCACTTTCCTGATTATCCCTAACTCGTTTTTATATCCCACAAGTGCAAAGACCACAACTGCATTTCAGAGTATGAGTGATTGTCTGCATCTCATCTCATATGCCGCGCAGCTAGGTGTAGAACGTGGAAACCGTAAGTCATTCTTGTCACAAGGTACTCATCAACTGCCTCGGCTCATAAGCCTTAGGAGTTGAGCTTTACCCAAATCGTGCCTCCAAGTCGACCCAAATATCTCTAGCCGTCTTGGCGTAACGAATTGCTTGCAGACGCCCTTCTCTATCCATGTTTTTAACCAACCCTTGACAAGTGCGTCACTTTGAAACCAAGCACCGATTCATTCTTCATTCTCCGGCTTCTTAATCGTCCCATCCACGATTCCCATCTTATTCTTTGCGATAAGGGCTTCTGACATATGAGTCACCCACTCGCCATAGAAGGAGTCATTAAGGAGTTCTCTAACGAATAACTGGCCAGGATTGTCCGACGCAAGCACATTCAAGGCTGCAAGCATGCACGACGCGGTTTCACCACTCCCACCGCTGCACACCATGGTGCTAGTCTTTTCGCCGTCAGTTCATCAGAATTCGTTATAGGCTAGATCGTCAAATGGCCAGCTCTGATACCATGAAAAATCTATAAAGCACGAAAGGAAACGCATGACACAATCAATTTTCATGGTATCCCCATTCGGTATGAACGAGATTAATCCACGGAGAAGGAAACCCTTCTTGGTTTTGTTTGTACACTATGTACGTAACTTGTTCTGTTACAGGAGAGGAACTCATATATATAATGAGAAACTCATATATATAATGCTCCCATTCTCTAGGATTATAGGTAGGAGCCATAAAGCCAAAAGACAAAACAACCCCTACGATAAATAGTATGACTTCTTTAATATAAAACGGTTGGAGTGCCCATAGCTAGAGGTGGAAATCGGTACAGTATCGGTATCCCAATACCAAATCTCAAGTTATTGTCATTGGTAATCTTTAATTTGAGTCATTTGACAAATTGAAGGCCGAGAGTTGACTAATACTAGTGTTTGCTTTTTGGTGTTATGAAAATAACAAGTTATTAGGTGAGAGATGAGAGTGACTTAAATTGGAAAGTCAAAATTGAGTTGGATGGGGACTTTTGAGTTGTGAAACAAAGATGAAATGATCTATGTATAATTAAATGACACTCTTGGTGGTTGAGCGTTGTGTAGTAGTGAATGAGAGAGTCTAGATGAAAGAATAAAATACACAGATCATTTCATTACCGCAATATAAGCTAATTCGTTATTATTAGTTTTAATACTGATCACAATCATGTAATCCCAAATACCGAATTACAATTGAAATTCAATCCCAATCTCAATACCAAAAAATAATACGTGTATTCGGTAATACCAAATATAGACAAATTTGGTACGATATTCGGTATATCCCAAATACCGGTACCAAACTTCCAGCCCTACCAATAGCACTCTGTTTCTTACCAAAAAAGAGTATGATCCAATAAATCAAATTATTATGGGCAGTCCAAAATTAGATATCCTCCTCCTCCCATCATATAAGGACGTTCAGCTTCGGAATCCATCTCATTCTCTTTTTCGAGCCTTCTGAGCATAATAAGGAAGGGCTTCTTTGTCCTTTCCTTTGTTTTTTTATATGCAGGACATACAAGACTTCCTGAGGGATTTTATGAGTTTATACAAGTATATATATATATATTGGCTACTTCGGTGCACTCACTTTTTTGGGTGCATTCAGTGCACCCACCTCTAAAAGTGGTCATAATACATCAAATTTTGAAATTTAATGGGTAGCATTAGTCTCATATGATGA